GTGGAATGGGCTGATGAGAACAATTTGTTCCAACAACCACGAAGGTAACTGAAGTTAGTGCTGTGGAGCGTTTAGAGTTTGGTCAGGCATCAAAGACACCAAGGTCATCTACCGCATTCCAGGTCAGTTCTCCTGACTTTTGACTTGCCACTGGACTTTGATAACTCTGGAAGAGAGAGTGAGGTTGATGTGTAACTCTGCCTCATGCAAATCCAATTCATCCCAAGTCAAGACTTACTGTCATTGATCCTCTTTGAAAATGGACAAACAGCTAACTATCTACATACACGCATATATATGTGTGTGCATGCATACATATATAGAGATATATACATACATACATACACATATATCTTAAGAGGTAGGTGGCCTTACAGATCATCTAATCTAACCCACTCATTTAGAAATTTTAGAGAGATCCCCTGACTGGCCAATAGATGGTATTGTTGTCACCAGGACCTCGGTTGGTGTCTCGAGTGAATGAATGGGTGTGGGTGAGAAGAGGGTACAGTAACATTAGGGTGAGGTCATTTGATTAAAATCCAGGTGCTTATCAATTCTGCCTATTCAAATTCAAAGTTCTAACACTGGAGCATGTCTTAGAATTTTAAAATTCAAAAGGCCCTTAAATATCTTCTGATCCAACTCCCTTTTTGTTGTTGTTTTGCTCAGGAGAATCAAAGGATCATAGATTTAGAAAGAGAAGGGACTGGAGAGGCTGTCAGGTCCACTCATCTCCTTTTACAAATAAGGAAACTAAGGCCAAGGCTGGGTAAGTGACTAGGCCAAGGTCACACAAGTAGGCAAGCATCAGAGGAGTTATTTAGAAAGGTCAATTTGAGATTCTCTTTTAAAATACAAGTATTCTCCCAAGAAGAGTAGAACTTTCAGCCACTCAAAATAAAAATTCATTTTATCATTTCACTTTCTTCCAATTTATAACATTAGAGAAAATAACAGCTTTGATGAGGTGAGAGGTCATTTGGGGATATGGAGCACTTCAGGGGAGTTTAGGCCTCACACAAGAGTCCTGTCTGAGATACTCTGGGTAGCCATAAGACAGCATGAGAGAACTGGGTGTATGGGGGCTGGTGGAGGAGAGGGGCAAAATGAGTGCAGAAAGGGAGATAGAAAGCAACCACCAACCAGGCTTGCCTGTGATTTATCTGGGGAAACACCAACTACTTGGAGGTGGGCTGGGTAGCTTAGAACTGTCTCCAGTGGTGGTGATTCTTTTTTTTAACAAAGAGGGTGTATTCCAGTTCCCTGGTCTGTACGTGGGCAGAGTGGCAGGTGATATCAGTCTTTAAGGGATTAGAGTGGGCTAGCAGTATGGCTAATGCAAAACTAGGAAAAAGTTGAGCCAATGATGGGTTGTTACAGTGCATGATAAACACTCCATACTATAAATCTACAAATATGGAAAATTTCCTGTACTTGGCAATTTTTTTCATTTCATTTCTTTCTCTCTCTCTTCCTTCCTTCCTTCCTTCCTTCCTTCCTTCCTTCCTTCCTTCCTTCCTTCCTTCCTTCCTTCCTTCCTTCCTTCCTTCCTTCCTTCCTTCCTTCCTTCCTTCTTTCCTTCTTTTCTTCCTGCCTTCCTTCCTTTTCCTAGCGGCAACCACTTGATTGCCCCAGAAAATCACTTCAGTACTGCTGTAGATTTTCAATGTTCAAGTTACCACAATGGGGGAGGAAGAGTACAAGAGTTGTAAAAATCAGTATGTTTTCTACCCTTTGAGGGATTATGATGCTGGTCTTCCAAATACATCTAGCTGCCAGATTGATTTTCTTCATGCACAGCTCTGATCTCTGATAAGATATTTCTAATGCTGTTAGCACAGTGCCTGGCATATAAATAAGTGTTATATAAATGCCTTCTCCAGCTCATTTTATAAATGGGAACCTGAGGCAAATAGGGTTAAGTGACTTGCCCAGGGTCACACAGCTAGGCAATGTGGACCTCAGGCAGATGAATCTTCCTGACTTCAGGCCTGGCTCTCTATCCACCCCACTCACTAACCCAAGGAGTGATGTCAGAAAGGGCAGCGAGTTTAGATGATAAATAATTAGTTTGACTTGGGACATAGTGGGTTTAAAGTGCCAATAGGATATCTTAAAGATAGATGTAGATGTAAGGCTGGAGCTCAGAAGGGAGGTCAGGGCTGGAAAGATTTAATAGTCACAGAATGATATAACCTTGGAGGAGCCAGGTCATTGAGTCCAATTTGCACCTAACAGCAGTCTACATGATGACTCAAACAAGTGTTCAGCTAGGCCCAGGGGTGGGGAGCCTGCAGCCTCGAGGCTACATGTGGCCCTCTAGGTCCTCAAGTGTGGCCAAACTGTTAGGTTTGGGTTCAGTCAAAGGGCTACATTTGAGGATCTAGGCGGCCATATATGGCCTCGATGCCACAGGTTGCCTACCCTGACTGCTAGCCTTTGCCTGAAGCTTTCCAGCATACGGGAACCACCACTTCCCAAGATGGTCTATTCCACTTTTGGGTATTTCTAGTTGTTAGGGTATTTATCTTGTTATCAAGCCAAAATTTGTCTCTTTGAAACATCTACCTATTAATCTTAGCTATGCCTCCTGGGACTAGCAGAATAAATTTAATCTCATTTCCACATGATAGCCTTAAATAACTCGAAGTCAGTACACATATCTCAACTTCTCCAGGCTAGGCACACCTAGTTCTTTTAAGTCATCATCTTATGGTAGAATCTTAAGTTTTTTATCATCCTGGTTACCCTCTCTGTGTAGCTCCAGTTTATCAGTGACCATTCTAAAACATGGCTTCCAGATCTGAACACAACACTCTGGATTTGCTATGAACAGAGCAGAGAACAGGAGGATCATGAACACTTTCATCCTGGACACCATGTCCCTTTTAGTTCATTGTTGATTAGTATTGAACTTTCCACTAAAACCCCCAGATGTTTTTCAGACTATAGAAAAGTATTAAAAACTGTAGGCAGCTAGGTGGCATTGTGGATGGAGTGCTGAGCTTGGAATACAGAAAACTCTTCCTGAGTTCAAATCTGACCTCAGATACTTACTAGCTATGTGACCCTGGGCAAGTAATTTAAGCCTGTTTGCCTCAGTTTCCTCATGTGTAAAATGAGCTGGAGAAGGAAATGGCAAACCACTCCAGTGTCGCTGCCAAGAAAACCCCAAATGGGGTCACAAAGAGTCGGACACAACTGAACAACAATTGTGCCTCTCCTGTTTTGTACTTGAGAAACTGATTATTCAAATACAAATGTGAGAACCTGTTTAACCTTATATACATATATATATAACCTTATATATATATATATATATATAAAACCTTATATATATAAAACTATATATATAACCTTATATATAAAACCCTATATATATAACTATATATATAACCCTATAACCATATATATATATATGTATATATATATAGTTTTTAATCTTAGTACACAGTCAATAGTGTAGTAAGTTGATTTCAGACCTGGTTCAAAGGTGGGACCCAGTTTGAAGTCTTCTTGGAAGATCTCCAGTTAAATGCCTTGAGGATCTGTACCTGGCCTTCTACTCTTTGACATTTTTGTCAGACTTGCACAAAGGCATCAATAGCATGCTTATCAAATTTGGTTTGGCCCCATATTCTGGCTTGTCGAGATTTCCTGAATCCTGATGCTGTCATCTAATGTATTAGTTACACATTATCCCTGTATGCAAGAGGCTGATGGGTCCCAAGGATGTGAAGATGAGAACAATAGACTGTCCCCAAGGAGCTTCCAATACAGTGGGGGATTTGCATGCAGGTAAAGTAAGGCAAGATAAAATATGCTAAGGGAGAAGTCTATAGAAAATTGAGAAGATCACTTTCAGCTGATGGACAGGGAAAAGTCAAGAAAAACATTCTGGAGGAGATGGGACTAAGACATTAAGTTCTCCCCATTTTATAGATGAGCAAACTGAGCTATATAAATGTTGGCTATTATTATTATTCTCCCTGTTTTACAGATGAGAAAACTGAGTCTGAGAGAGAGGTCAAGTGACTTGGCCAGAATCCCAGAGGCAGGATTTAAACTTGGGTCTTCTTGAATCCTAGTCCAATAATCTATGGGCTGCTCCACCTGGCTGTACGGATGGAGGAATGAAACAGGAAACAGCCAATACTGCGGTTAGAACCTGTTCTAGAGTCAGTGCTTCAATACAGTAGAACTTAATAAGTACTTATGCAGACTCGGGCTCTTTTTTCAGAAATATAGACAAAAACTAAACCATCCCTGCCTTCAGGAAGTTTACATTCAATGGGGAGGAAGGATATATATATATATATATATAGATAGATATCTATATCTATCTATATATCTATATCTATATCTATATATGTATATATGTACACACACACACACACACACACTTAATAAAACATAATCTGAAGAAAGGAGCACACTAATAACAGGGTGATTGGGAAGTGTTCTCAAATGAGGTGTGCCAGCACCTCAGCTTAACCTTGAAGGAACATAAAGATTCTGAGAGGAAGAGATGAGTGTGCATTAAATTGTGAAAAGGATACAGAATGTCTAGTTTGGGAACTAGCTACAGTAGTCCAATTGGGACCACAGAGTAAATGGAAGGGGTAATTTGAAACAAGACTTGAGAGCAGGTTGGAGTCAAACTAAGGAAAGCCTTAAATGCCAACCAACGGAGTTCATATTTTATCCTGGAGGCAATAGGGAGCTACTGAACGTTTTTGAGTGAAGGAATAACATGGTCATGGTACATAGAGGTAAGCATAATAAAAAAAAGTAGGTCAGGCTAATTAAATAAATATTTCAGTGAATCAAGACATGGTAAATGGCAAGGACAAGAGTGGTCGGTGGGCAGAGACATCAGGTAGGTAGAAAATAAGGTGGTTAGGTTTCTGTCATTAAAATTGATGAGAAATTTGCAGAAAGAATGAAACATTGTAAAGAGGAGGAGATTTGGGGAACTTGAAAATAACTATACAAACTCAAGAAGAAAGGATAGTTTATTAATGAGTTAGTAAGAATTTGAAAATAAATTATATTTGAGCATTAGAGGAGTTAATCTGTATCTTAATTGATACTAAACATACTATCATGGAAATGGGTATGCTTTTGGAATAGTTCTTCGAAAGGGATGGATGTATTCTTGGTCTGCTTCATACTTTGCAAGTACTTCCTGAATTCTTTCATTGAGCTCTTTCTTTGCCATCAGCCCTGCTTCATACTCTTTCTTTTCTGCTTCTTTTTCTGCCTCTCGAATCTGATGCTGGTGTTCAATTTGAGCTTGCAGTTGCTTCCTGTATTCCAGGGTTTCCCTGCATTTTCTAAGAATAATAGAAATGATGCAAGTGTAAAATTTACAAATTAAACATTCAGATTTCCTTACGATATCGTTTGCTACCCTTCTGTAAAGTAAATGACACCTCTCCTTCCTCCATATTGGAGAGGATCAGCTAGTGCCCCCCGCAAAAAATAATTCAATGATAGCAATATTGAGAAACAAAGAATCTTACAGAAAACATTGCAATATAAAAATGAACAGTAAATATCTTTCTTTTTAAGAATGGAAATATAATGGGGCAGCTAGGTGGTGCAGTGGATAGAGCACCAGCCCTGGAGTCAGGAGGACCTGAGTTCAAATGCAATCTCAGATCAGACACTTGACACTTACTAGCTGTGTGATCCTGGGCAAGTCACTTAACCCAAATTGCCTTGCAAAAACAAAACAAAACAAAACAAAACAAAACAAAAAAGAATGGAAATATAGTGAGCTGTTTTTATTGCTAAAGGTTACCTGAAGCATGTATGATAAAGCCAGAGGAATGGGTATAATTTATCAGTGGTTCTAAGCTAATAGTGAAGTAATATAAATACATTATCTTTTTTCAAATATACTATTTTTTATGACATGTCTTCTTTCAGACATTGAAAATGGTGGTGGAGGGAAGAGCAATGAGCTAAGGAATGGGCCCAGGAAATTAGCATGGAAATAGAAGACTTAGAGTAAGAAAGATATGAGGTAAGTACCCTCTCTTCTTCAAGCTATAGGCTAATTTGGGCAACAATATTAATTGCTGCCAGGGTGATGAAGCAATGAAAAGTCAAGTTTCTCTCTTCCTCATAATCCCCAACACAAATTTAGTTATGGCAGCAGATGAAGGGCACCCTGGAATCCTGGTCTAGTGAGTTAGTACAGAAGGCTATGATCATAGGCCAGATCCATTATACACAGGAATTGTTAGGTTCCATACCACAGACAAACTAATAAATATTTATGATACCATACCATTGGCTTAGTTGACACAAAGAAAGTTGGAAAAATCATTTTAGTCATTTGCTCACAGACTTACCAACCTAAGACCATTCTTATCAACCCAGCTGGTCATTCTGTACTTGTTTAGCTCTACTCTTTTTTTTTTAATATTTTAATGCCTCCTAAACCAGTATTTGGCAAATTTTATAAAGATCTTATTTCCTGGAAGGAAAGAAGTAAAGCTGATGTGATATTAATAAATATAATACAAAAGGAAAGGGGGCACTGTCCTCAATGAAAGACTTTTTACTGTAAGAAATAAAAAATAACATACCTTGCATAATTTTCTGCATCTTCACAGTTAAGTTCTTCAAGACCTTTCATTATTAATTCCTGATCAAGAACTTTTTCTTTTGCTTCTCTTTCCACTAAAAAATTAAAAATAATTAATTTCCAAACTACAGAATTCTAAGTCACCCCCCCGCCAAAAAAAAATCAACTCCTTTAAACAAGATGAAAACTTGCCCACATTTTTCTGGCCTTCATTACCACCCTGTCTTTCAAAAAACACCATATTGGGGCAGCTAGGTGGCACAGTGGATAGAGATCCAGCCCTGGAGTCAGGAGGACCTGAGTTCAAATCAGGCCTCAGACACATAACAATCACTAGCTGTGTGACTCTGGGCAAGTCACTTAACCCCAATTACCTCACCAAAAACAAAACAAAAAACCATATGTTATATGGCTGGCCAGTATATTGCTTCTTGGCAAGCATAACCTATGCTTGCAATCCTTTGGTTTTCTTTTTTGGTTTTGGCCATTGCAGGTACAAGGAGGGTACAGGCAATGTTTCCCATTGTGGAGGGACAGGAAAGGATGACTTCTGTTATTTCTTTAATATGCTTGTGATGTGAGATGTGAAGGGACAAATGAGCTGATACTTGAAAAGGGTAAAAAAAGCAAACATGTCATCCTTCTCTCTCACTGAATGGTGGGACAGGAAGTTCATAGGTGTGCCATAGAATGAGAATGGTTGGAAACTAACCAACCCCCACTTTCCTACAGAATCACATTTAAGCCATACCAGACAGTGCAGTCTCTGCCCTAGAATTGTATAACATCTCAGTGGAAGAAGGTTCTGCTAACTATCTTTAGTAACTATTTCCAATGTTAACGACCATCACTATTCATTATTAAATGACCCTCAGTCTTTGCTTCTTCAGATTAATAGTAATAGTTGCTTTAAATTCCTTATGCATCTTATTTTACAAATTTCATCGTTGTGACATTTCTCCTAGAGTCTTTGAGTCTACAGTTCTTACACTTCATTCCTGTAAAACTCAGTTAAATAGTTTTTAGATGTTGTCTGATAACCTTAACTTTAAAGATATCTGGGTGAAAAAATTAGATGGGTAGCCATAAATTTTAAGATAAGATAGTCACTTCAGTGGTATCACCCCAGGTAAATATCAATTGAATGGAGTCACAGAGAAAAACAAAATCAAATGCATTTATCCATTTACTGTCTCTTCATTCTTCACAGTTGGGTAGAAGTGGTGGTGGTAGACTGGATTCAAGAGTACCAAATACCTGAGAGAGAAGATGGAGGTGGAGAGGTGTGGGATGTACCCAGCGTGGCAATGGCTCTACCTCCTTAGAGCTATGAAGGCATCCCAGAATCTCACAACCTCACATAGTTCTCTCCTCTATTTACCTTTAGAGTATAGCCTACCTTTGGTAAAGAGAGATTTGGGGGCAGTACTAACTTTGACCCCTGAACAGGAAGAAGGGACTCAGTAGCAAACATGGGAATGAATGAGAAGGATGCTGAAAGGGAAACTGAGACAACCTCCTGGAAGATCTGGACTGGTGCTGCATTATCATTACAGTGGGAACTGAAGCCCAAGTTCCAGGGATCCACAGCTCCAAGAAAGGGAGAGGTGACAGAGGCACTCAACCAATCCAAAGACCTCTTCCACTTCCCAATAAAGTCACTTTTTCCTTCTTCTGGCTAACTGGGTTTGCTAGCTTTTGTTCTTTGTCTACTGCTTTCAATTTAGAACTCATTTACCTGCTATTAAATCCTGCTGACCCTTGTGGCCCCAAGAGAAATGTTAAACTGCCTGTATTATTTAAAGTTTACAAATAGGGTGAAGATAAGGGAGTGTTCTTTATTCTATAGAGGCAGACAGTTTGGTCATTCAAAGCTGATCTGGTACTTGGGGCTGTTAGGACAAAGGAGGACAATGTTACTAGACTGCACAGTATAGTTGTCTCTTCCACATTGCAACTTTCCCCATAGTAGTTTCGATATATCTAGGGTCAGTGTAAGAAATTAAACGAGAATTTTTTGGGGGAGTTTTGAGGAAGCAAAGGCCAGAAGACAACACAGAAAAAGTTTAGAAACTCAGAAATGTGTAAAATATATGTATAATATTGTATAATATCAACCCAAATTTTACAATAAGGCATTGTAAACACCCCATTAAAAAAAAAAAAGAAAAAATTCAGACTTCTTCTCTGGTACAAGGGGACAAAAAATTTTATGCAGATTTTCTGGATTGTGGGGGCACTGTGCTCCTACCCCCAGCAATGTGGAAGGGATAATTGTATAAGCCTGGTCCATGAAATAGGGATTTAGCTACTCCTTGAAATGAATTATACTTAGGTAAAAATGGCAGCCTGGAGCCAGAGATGGGCAAGCTCACTTTCTTTTTTGAACCATAGGACTCCTTAGTGGACAGGGTTGGAAAGTAAAGTCTCATCTCCTGAGAGGGGAAAACTAAAAGAAAATGAGAGCCACACAGAGGAAGGAGATTTCCCCCCCCTCTTCTCAACCCCCCCAGCAGCTTGGCCTGCCTCACTTGTTACCACCACATACTGCCCGCGCTAAGAACACTGATTTATAGTTAAATGATTGCTGAGATTTCTTCTATTCCAATGACTTCATTGTACCAATGAGGAAACAAGCCTAAAGAGGCTAAGGAGCATGCTCAAGGTCACACAGGGAGCAAGCAGAGCTGGGGTTTGACCCCACGTCTTCTAATACTTGTCCCACTACACCAGGCTGTCCTGACACATGCTCCTAATAGATTAGTACTCCCTTAGGTGAGTCCTCTACTCCAAACGAATGGGCTCACTCATCTTTGTTTTTTATCCTCCTCTGAAGACCCAGTTGAATTCCTGCTTGTCCATAAAGCCTGTTCAGGCCTAGAGAACCCAAATTACAGCCTCTGCTTTTCATTCATTCAACAAATATTGCCTGTGCCACTCACTTGGCAATTAAACAGAGGAGCACAGAGTTAGAGTACCTTCAAGGTCACCTCTCATTATCTTGAGCTGTTAATTAAATATTGCATAGGATACATGTTTTCTCTTCTGGGATGTTATGGCTCTTAGTTTCATTAAGTCCTGTGAACTCAGCTTGCAAAGGTGAAGAAACATGGGTTTTGAAGCTTATTAATTGTATTTCGTTGGCAGAAGAGATAAGGGCAAATGAGAATCCTTCATTACAAATATGAACCCTCATCCAAAAATGTTTTATTTGCATTAAAAAGCTCCTGTTCAAAGCAAACATCTTTGAAAGGGTTAAATCTCACCTACATCCTACTGTGAATTACTTAGTCAGAATTTAAGAGTCAAGACCTGGGTTTCTTGCTTCAGATACTTACCAACTGTATGAGCAAGTCATTTATCTCCATTTTACAGATGGAGAAACTGAGACTGATAGAGGTTTGATGAGCCACCTCATAGTATCTACTATAATGAATGCAAATATTTTAATCCTACATACATGTAATTTATTATTATTTAATTGAGGCAGCTAGGTGGCCCAGTGGATAGAAGACCAGGCGTGGAGTCAGGAAGACTCATCTTCCTGAATTCAAATTTGTCCTCAGATACTTACTAGTTGGGTGACTCTAGAGAAGTCACTTAACCCTGTTTGCCTCAGTTTCCTCATCTATAAAGTGAGCTGGAGAAGGAAATGGCAAACCACTCCAGTATCTTTGCCAAGAAAACCCCAAAAAGGGTCACAAAGAGTCAGACATGCCTGAAAAATGACTGAATGTTATTTAATTGGATAATCGCCTACATAAAGCCCTGAACTACTGAGCTCTGAATAATAAATTGATAATTAGATAGTTTTTGAAGGTTTACAAAACACTTTTCTCATAACCCCCCAGTGATGTAGGAAGTACAAATATTATTCTCATTTCCCAGGAAAGGAAACTGAGGCACAGAGGTTATTCAGCTCAGATTCACCCAACAAATGTGTCCGATTAAAAATTCAAATCAAGATCTCTCTTACTATCAAGTCCAGTGCATTTTTTTTCCTTCTATACCTGACAGAATTTTTATTTGGTCCATGAAGAGTGCCTGGGAAAGGCAGAGGGCTTCAGTCAGCTAGAGAACAGCATTTGGGTAGTGAGTTCCTGAGAATGAAATAGGGGCTAGTAGAAATGGGGAGGTGGGAGATAACTCAGATTCTGGTGGTGGGTAGAATAGAGACACTCGAATTAAGATAGTAAGACTATGGAATCATACTATCAGAGTTTTTTAAAGCTGGAAAGGACTTTAGAGACCACTTAGGGTCTTTGGGTTAAGTGTCCTGCCTAGTCCTACAGCACTCTAGGGGCAGAACTGAGGATCAAATTCAAATACAGTACTCTGACTCCTATGGCAGCTGGGTGGCATGGTGGATGGAATGCTCAGCCTAGAGAGTCAGGAAGACTCATCTTTCTGAGTTAAAATCTGGCCTCAGACACTCACTAGCTGTGGGATCCTGGGCGAGTCACTTAACTCTGCGTCAGTTTTCTCATTTGTAAAATGAGTTGGAGAAGGAAATGGCAGCATCTTTGCTAAGAAAACACCAAAAGGGGTCACGAAGAGTTGGATACAACTGAAAATCACTCGACGACAACAACAGATCCAACACCTGGATCAGGGATCTTAGGAGGGGAACGTGGAGAAAGTGAAGTAGTGACAAGTAATACCCGACAAGCATTCACCAAACTATCAACAGACACGCATTATGGATCTACTGTGTTACAGGAACTGAGACGTTTCCATTCTAATGGCAGAGACAATCAGCCCACGTGGAAGCATATACAGAATACATATAAAGTGAAAAACAGAAATAAATACAAGGTGTTTGGGAGGGAGACAACTAACAGTTGGGGGATCAGGAAAGAAGGGTTGGACTAACTGGTCTCCACAAAAGCAGAGAAAGGAGATGGAGTATTTTGTGAGGGGTACAGAAACAAGGTTAATTTGGCTGGATCAAAGCGTGTTGGCTTGGGCAGAGTAGGGAGTAATGTAAATGGGGCTAGAAAGATAGGTTGGGGCCAGGTTGTTAAAGATTTTTAAAACTAAAGTTTATATTTTTATATGAATTTTATATAAAATTTATTTTATAAATAGGAGTTTATATTTTTAAGTAAAATATAAGTAATAGGGAGCCATTGGAGTTTATTGAGTAGAAGAGTGACATAATCAAGCCTGCATTTAAGGAAAATCACTTTAGCACCTTTGTAGGAAGGATGGACTAGGGAGGATACTTGAGGCAAGGAGATTGGTTAGAAGACAGTGGAATAATCTAGGTGAGAGGAGATTAAGCTGCTAATGTGGTCACTATGTGAGTAGAGAAAAGGGTCAAATGCAAGAGATGTTGTAGAAATAGAAGTAGCAACATTTGACAACTGATTGGAATGTGTGAGGCACAAAAGTGAGGCAGTTCAGGATAACACCCAACTATGACTAAACTGGGAGACTTGAACAATGGTAGTGCTTTTGACAGAAATAGGGAAGTTTGGAAAAGGGGTGGGTTTGGGGAGTGGTAGGGGAAACATAGTGACTTCTCTTTCTTATATGCTGAATTTGAGATGTCTCTGGGATTTTCTGTTTGAAATATCCAATATAAATCAACAATTGTTACTAACTCCAGGAGAGTGACTGGGGATGGATATACTCATATGGAACTCATCTACAGAAAGGTGACAATTAAACCCAAAAGGAGAGTCACCAAAGGAGAGTGCAGAGAGAAAAGAAGGCTCTTGACAGATTCTTGAGGAACATCCACACTTAGGTGTGATATGAATTAGAAGGCAGCTAGGGCCTGGAGTTAGGAAGGCTCGCGTTTAAATCCAGTCTTAGAAACTTATTGGGTGTGTGTGACCTTGGGCAAGTTACTTAACCTTTATTTGCCTCAGTTTGCTCAATTGTAAAAAGGGGATGATAATAGCACCTACTCCCAGGCTTGTTGTGAGGATCAAATAAGGTAATATTTATAAAGTGTTTAGCATAGTGCCTGGCACATAGTATTATTATACACAAATATTATAGATGATGATGATGATGATGATAATGAAGAGGAAGAGGAGGAGAATGAGTCATCAAAAGAGATTAAGAAGGAGCATTAAAACAAGTGGGAGGAAAGTAAGAAGAATGGAGTCTTGTGAAAACTCAGAAAGGAGTTGGTGGTCAGTACTGTCAAAAAAAAAAAGAGAGAGCTTGTGGCAAAAAACCTTCAATTTTCTCAGGTAGGAAGTGAGGTTTTTAGCAGGCAAAGAAAGGAAAGAGGAAGCTATGGGAGGTTTGAGGAGAGAAAAGAAGGTTTGGAATAGCTTCTGTGAAATGTGAGACAAGGAATCAAATATAAAGGAATAAAGTGAGGATCCAGTTGAAATTAGATAATATGAATTTAGAGTGTATCTAGGTAGCATGGTTGTGTGACTTCCTTCAGCTCCATTAAGGCTACTCCTACCTGAGTTAGATTTCTTTTTTTAGGCAATCGGGGTTAAGTGACTTGCCCAGGGTCACACAGCTAGTAAGTGTCAAGTGTTCAGTCTGAGGCTGGATTTGAACTCAGGTTCTCCTGACTTCAGGGCTGGTGCTCTATCCACTGCGCCACCTTGCTGCCCTCTCTACCTGAGTTAGAGTGGAGGAAGCAAACAGAAAGAGTAACCCAGGCTGCAGTTTGGCAAGGGATGAGCAGAGACAGGATAAAGGGGACAAGGGATTCAAGAAGAGATGACTGTGTAGAAGTGAATTGATTAACTATAGGGTTGAGATTGGTAAGGGAAGAAAGTGAAGTCAGAGCAGGGATTAATGGCCTGCAAAAGTACTATGAACAAATTGTTTCCAACTAACCCCATTTTCTTTTTTGACAGGATTGCTTGCCTGGTAGATCAGAAGCGTGCTGGGCACAGGATATATCTGGATTTCAGCAAGACATCTGACAAAGCCTGTCATTATGTAGTAATGGACAAGGAAGAGACATGGTCTAGATGATAATAAATGGTTAGATGGAGTCATTACTGGCTAAGTTCCTGGACTTCAAAGTACAGATCAATCAATCTGGAGGACAGCCTATAATAGCTCTATTTTCTGCTTGTCTTGATCAACATTTTTATCAATAACTTGGATAAAGACATCTTTATAAAATCTACAAATAATATAAAACTGGGAGTTATTACAAATATATAGGGTTCATCAATAGGGAGGGAAAAAAGAGAAGCTATTCAGATCCACCCTCACCTGCTATTATTATTATGGCAATGTATAATATTCATGGAATTTCCTGAATTCTCTAATCTTCAGAACACATTTCCAAGTCCTCATCAACCTCTTCATTTAGTGCTAAGAATATGCATTTAATGGTTTTTCTCCCACCTAGAATAAAGAATTCTTCAGAGGTGGGAGCCTAAATTATGAATGCTTTTTTTATTTCCCTCATAGCACCTACCACAGATAGCTAGTACACAATAACTATGTGTTGATTAATTACTAAAATTGGCCTGGGTCCAAAAATTACCACAATTCAGTTTCTTACTTTTTTCTATAACTTGTAGTTGTCTGGTAGCCAAGACATCATCCATTAGTCGTTTTCTTGCATCCTTTTCAAGCATCAGCTGCGCGTCCTTCTTGGCTTTTATTTTTGCTGACTCAGCTGCTATGATTCTGTCTGCCTCATCTTCGTGAAGTCTCTCAGCTTCCCAGCACTGATTCAGATATGCCTGATATAGCTTTACCTCCCTCTCAGTGTCTTCCTACATAATAAAAGGAGATGGAATTAAAAACCTTCAAAGTGAAACACATCTCTCCATAGATATAGCATATATACATGATTTACTGAGAAACATATAATTTATTATAGTGACTTTAGTGATTTTATTCGCTTTAATTAGGATGGAGGAAATGTCATTAACTAAAACAGATTATTATCATGCTCTAGAGCCTTCATGTATGAACATGGTAGTGCCGACCTCTTTGTAGGGGGCAAGCACCTTGAGTTGTTATCTGCTAATTCATCTACTCTTTTATGCATTCTCCTTCGTGGTTGACAATTGGGATGGCTGGCAATTGGAAAGGCTTTTGAGTGTAACACACATATGGTGATGAACCCTGTAATGATAACCTCATTAGCAAGAGATCAACCAACAAACGAGCCTTGATTAAGCAGCTGCTATGTGACAGGCACATGTTAGGCACTGGTAATAGAAAGACAAATTTAAGGCAATTCCTTTCTTCAAGTAGCTTACATTCTCTTTGTAACAAGCTATAACCCTACCAGTTGAATTCATGGTATCCTAGAGTTGAAGGGAATCCTAGAAACCAATCTAGAAAAAGGAGATGAACTTAAACAGTAGCAATAACACTGTAAGGACAAACAACTTTGAAATACTTAAGAGCTCTGACCAATGCAATGATCAACTATGATTCCAGAGGACGGATAATGAAGTGTGTTACCCACTTCCTGACAGAGAGGTGATGAGACTCAGGGTACAAAATAAGAGATACATTTTCTTTTTTGGACATGGCCAATGGGAGAATTCAATTTGCTTGACTATGCATATTTGTTACCAAAAACAAAAAGGTTTTGTTTTTTTTGTTTTTCCCTCACAGTAATAGTGAAAAATGGGAAGGAAATAAAATAGATTTTTGTTCATTGGAAAAAATTAAATTAAACACAGTTAACAGTGATATTGTACAATGAAGAACTGTGAAGAGTAAGCTATTCTCAGCGATATAGTGATCTAATACAATCCTAAAGGACTCATGATGAAAAATGCTGTCTGCTTCCAGGGGAAGGACTGATGTCATCTGAGTACAGACTGAAGCATACTATTTTTCACTTTCTTTCTTTCTTTCTTTTGTTTTTGCCCGACTTTTCTTGTACAAAATGATTGATATGGAAATCATTTCCATAATGTACATATTATATTACATGTGCAATGTATAACCTACATCAGATTGCTTATGGTTTCAAGGAGGGGGGACAGGTGAGAGAGAGGAAGGGACAGAATTTGGAAGCAAAACTTAAAAAGAAAAATGAGTTAAAATTGTTTTTACACATAATTGGGGGGAAATAAAATATTTTAATTTTTTTTAAGAAAGAAAAAAATTAAATTAACTTTTGAAAAAGAAACCATCAAATCTAGCACCTGCATTTCACAGATGAGGAAATTGTTGCTCAGAAAGGAGAAGTTCAAGGTTACATGGCTGACTAGAAAGAGCTGGGACAAAAAGAGAGGTCTCCTGACTCTCAATAAAAGAATATCTCCTATAAGATAAAAAATGTTTCTTTCATATCTGAGGTAACAAATGCTTCAAGTTTATATTTTTCTGGAAAAATTCCAAAAAATCCTTATTACCCAAAGGCAACTCTTTGAATACTGGTTCAAATAAATTATACAGATTATTATTCCCTTTTATTAAAAATGGATCACAAAATAGGTCAATAGGATGATTTACCATCTTTACCTACATCTGTGGTTAAGAAAATATTTTGATGTCCAGAATTCAACTTAATATTCTGGTAGAAGATCAACAGAACATATCAAGTTCTCTTTGTATGTATTCTTAGCATGGTTTCAGACTTACATGTTTAATAAATTATAGTGATCTATTTTTTTTAATAATTCCTGTCTATGTACAAAGCTGCTACTATAACTATCCTTGTTTAAGACTAAATTATTGAGTCATTTCACATCTCCCTAAAACACAAAATAGGTTGTTTTAAGTTATCTCAGGCCTCAAAAGTAAAGATCTTTTAGGATAGAGCATATTATAAATTATATATAGGTGACACAGTAGATAAGAGTGCTGGTCCTAGAGTCAGGGAGATTATCTTCCTGAGTTCAAATTTGGCCTCAGACACTTACTAGCTGGGTGACCCTCAGCAAGTCACTTAACCCTGTTTGCCTCAGTTTCCTCATCTGTAAAGTGAGCTGGAGAATGAAATGGCAAACCAGTGCAGTATCTCTGCCAAGAAAACCTCAAATAGGGTCATGAAGAGTCAGACGTGACTAAAACGGCTATATCTAATGGTGAAGTTTGAAATTGCAGGCTAGCTCTTTGGATCCACTGTTAAGATCCAAAAAAAAAAAAAAGGATTTCCAGATTAGGGAAGATCAAATCATTGGATCCCTAGATATGGAAGAAATTCCTATATTCTCAGGGAAAAAGGGAACAGATCAACAGCAGAGGACAGTCTCTGAAAAAAATGCAAAAAGTAAGGGAAATGGAAGTCAAGGACTACAATTCTTAACAGAGATCCCACTGTGGGTATGGTGTAAGAATAGCAGTGTCTTAACATTTGTAAATAGCACTTAAAATCTAATACCTATCTAATTTCATTTGTTCTCACAATACCCTTGGGATATGGACAAGGCAAGTTCTATCTTCATTTCATAAATAAAGAAACTGAGGCACAGGTGACTTCATTACAATCATTGCTAGTGGCAGTTAGCAAAAGTGTCCAAATTTCTGGAATCCTAGGCAGAGGTGATACAATGCTCAGTGCATCAAAGTTAGGGCCACCATGTCTATTCTGATGAAAGTTTTGAATTTTTTTAATAGAAATATATCCAACTCCACTGGAACAATGAATTCCCCAAAATAAGGAAATCAATTTCTCTTTTGATCAGGATTCATTTTAGAATCCAAGGAAAGTTTCCTAAAATCTTGCTGAAATATCTTTTCATTAATATGATTTGCCTGTAATATAACAGTAACATTTGCTTTGATTCTACTTGAGGATGAGGGCATACTTAAAAGGTTGTATGTGTGTATGTGTGTGTGTGTGTGTGTGTGTGTGTGTGTGTGTGTATGTGTGTGTGTGTTTTCCAGAAGGACCTGAAAATGTCCTTCTTGAGAGACAACATGGCTTAGTGGATGGACCCTTGGCCTCTGGAATGAGGAAGACCTGAATTCATGTCCTGTCTCTGATACTGACTGTGTGACCCTGCGCAAACACTTAACCTCTCAGTGTGCCAGGCAATTTTCTGAAACTAATAATTACAGTAGTAATAGCTGACATTTATATAGAATTTTAAGGTTTGCAAAACAGTTAATTGACCCTCACAGCCCTGCAAGATGGTGCTGTTAACAGTCCCATTTTACAGATGAGAAAACAGAGGCTGAGAATTTAAGTGACTTGCCAAAGAAGTGTCTGAGGCAGGATTCAAACTCAGATCTTTTTAACCACAAGGTCTTCTTAATTTCTTGATGTAACCTACCTGTCTGATCTGCAGTGGTAATGAGAGTTCCCTGCATTGAAGAAATCAATGGCCCAGGTCAAAAGAAAAAAATCCTAGTTAACATATATTGGACTCACTTAACTGTCACTAAACATAGAAATTCACCAAAATTCATTAAACATAGAAAACTATGTTTAAATATGTCAACCCAATACTAAGTAAATAGGCCTTAGTCACTACTGTCCATGAACTGGCCCATCTTTGAACCTTTAGAGTCCATTTTTCAACAGTAATGCAAATGGTACATGCTGTCATGATGGGAATTATTATATTTAATTATCTCCTAATGATTTAATTAATCATTATATTTAACAAGATGTGTGATAGAAAGTCAAATGAACAGAAACTCAAGTCTGTACCCTAGAATTCAAGGGAAATATTGAAACACACCCACATTTGCAGCCAGATGAGGCACTCACATCCCCAGAACTCTGCTTCCTCTTCACAGCAATTATGACTTGGATTTTTGGCAGAGAGGTCACTTGAGCTCATTTACAGTGACTTGTTATCACAACTCGAGTTTCTTTTAGAGTTATACATCCCTTTATATGTTAGCAGAAGGCTGAACACAAAGAAACACGCATTAAATAAATGGTCTACAGAAGCTTTCTGATCCCAAAGGGACCTTACTTTCTTTTGCCTTAGTTCTTCATTCTCATCTCGTGTTTCTTGACGAGCAATTTCCAAAAGCTTGTTTTCCAAGTAAAGTTCCTTGGCTCTTTCCTGAGCGAGGCGATCATTCCTGTCTTGGAGGGCTTTCTCCAGATTGTCCCTGGTCTGATGCATTTTCTGCTGCTTCTCCAGCCTCTCTTTTTCTTTATCTCGTTTCAGCTGAGCTGTTCTCTTTTCCTAAGACAAAATAATAATGAAAGCAAGACCAGTCTTCTACAGGCCGGGTTATACAACTCGAGAAAGCTAACTTCTATTTAAAAGGGTGTTGAGCCAATTAGAAAATAACATGGGAATTTATTTTGCTGACTATGCTGGTGTGATACCGGGGTTCTGCATTTCTTCTTTTCAGTGGATGGAAGCAGAAAGAAAGCAGAAAAAATAAACTTGATAATTGAATATACATATGTGTATATAGATACATACATATATGCACATATATAAACACATATGTACATATACACACACATATAATCACTTAATCTTGGTTTGTGTTGGAGGCTGCTTAGGTCACTCAGTGGATAAAACCCTAGGCCTGAGTCAGGAAAACCTAAGTTCAAATTTGACCTCAGAAACTTACTAGCAGTGTGACCCTGGGCAAGTCTTTTAACCTCTGTTTGCTTTAATCCACTGCAGAAGGAAATGGCAAACCACTCCAGTATCTTTGCCAAGAAAACTCCATATGAGTCAGACATGACTGAAGGACTGAACAGCAACAAATAAATATGATTTATAGATACAGAATATATACATATTTATGTAATACAGATACTAGATATATATTTTACAGATATTTCTTTTTTCAGTGAATGGAGGGAGGACAAAAAACTGATAATTGAATATGCATGTGTGTATGTATATACACACATGTATATCCAGTAGGCACATGTATGTTATATATTATACATATGTAGTTGTTACATATATGTATGTTACATGTATCATATGCATCTTTTCAGTGAGTGGAGGCAGGAGGAAGGAAGAAGAATGAATACTTGATAATTTAATATACATATATATATACACACACACACACACACACACACACACACACACACTTTTTTCCTAAAGAAAAAGGAAAACAAAAAGACCAAGGGGACTTAAAGCTTTACATTTGAATTCAGAGGGTGTATTAAAATAGACAAGCCACATTGAATTACCACATGGTACTTTAATAACCCTTATTGAACACCTACTAAAACTACAAAATTAAAAGCCAAACATTAAAAAAAAAACAACTGCCTTACCTGCTCTTCCCTCCTTTTTGCTGTTTCTTTTTTCTCCCATCCACATTCCTTTTTTTCCCCCCTAATTGGAATACCGACAGATATTGAGCACTGTGGGTTTATAGTAGCCACACTGAAGCATGAGATGCTTCTGCCATGAACACTGTTGTCGTTTGTCCTTCGTTTTCTAAGAGGATCAGTGACCTCATCGGGTGATGTCTTGACTTGTTTGTGAAGTAGATTTAAGTGAGGCAGAGTTGACAAAATCTTCAGCCTCACTCAGCATGGCTGAGGATGCAGTGTCTGACCCTGGCGTTTCCAACATCTGACCAAGCTCTAAGTTCTCCACAGAGCCTGCTTCAGCCACCTTCATGGTCATTGGAACAAACCGTTCTCATCCACCCATTGTGTCAGGGCAAGTCTTCACACGCTTGCAGTAGACATCTTCCTAACTCACCAATGGGTTTGAGGCCTTCTGCTTACCCTTAACATGGCTTAGCCAGTGTGCTGAAATGGTTTTACCAGGATGTGGCTGCTGCACATGCTACAGATTCTTAGAGCCACAGGTGAGAGTTGGGTGCCAGATAAACACCAAAGGTAGATGAGTAGCTCTAAAAAGGGCTTGACAAGCCATTACACCAGAGGTGCTGGTCCTCCTTGAACAACTATATACCCCAAACGATGAGCAGTGAAAGGCGGCTCAGTGGTTATGGCGATGGACTGCTAATTCACCGTGTTCTGCACACGTAGGCATGACCACCTAAACTTACATGTGAATCACAGATGATTGCTTAATAGCTGGGGAGGGGAATAATACAGACAAGAGTGCTGGCATCTTCAAAAGGTGTGTTTGGGAAGCAGTATCTAACTGCTGGGCAGCGATAGCTCAAGGGAGAGACCAAAAAAATTCTAAGCATTGGGCAAAATGGAGAAACACTTTCCTAGCTCTTTATTTATCTATGGTGGGAGTTAGATGATTATTCAGGAAAGATGAGAAGCATCATAAAACCTGGATCCATTTTTTTAGAGAAGAAAAGAAAACTGTTATCTGGGAATAATTTTACCCGTCTTTAAAGGTCCCACTTAAAGACTATCTCCTGTAAAGCCTTTCCTCACTTCCCTGACTGAAGTGGTTTTTCCCATCTCTGAAATCCTGATGGAGTGAATAGGGCAATGGGCTTGGAATCAGGATGGCTTGAACTCAAATCCTGCATCAAACACCTACTAACTGAGTGACCTTGAGAAAGTCACTTAACTTTTCTATGCCTCATATGTATGTGTGTGTGTCTATATACACACACATGCAAATAGAAATACAAATATAGACACACACGCCTACATACACACACAAGTGCCACTGAGTTCAACTCTCTCATATTACAGATGAGAAAACTGAGGTCCAACATGGGGGCAAGGAGGGATTACCTTGCCCCAGATTATGGAATAAATACACAGTAGAGCTGGGATTCTCTAAACTTCTCAGTCAATTCTGTAACAGATGGCACGTTTTACTATAAAAAATCCTCTGGAAACATCTACCTGCCCACTTATATTTTCATCAAATACTCTCAAAGTGTTTATGAGCCCTCTTCATAAAGATTTTATAGAATGAGAGAGAGGCATATGGGTAAATAGTTACTAATGTCTTCTCCATCATCTATGACTTTTTCCATTCTTCTGAAATCTCTTTTTTGAGATATCTTGGAAACGGATCCCTGAGGACTCTTATAATGAATGCCTGTATTGCTTATTTCTTCCATCACTGTGCAGTGAGGCCTACCAACCTTCTTCTGAACTTGTTATTCCTAAGTGTCGCTGCCACGTCCTGACATAATACATCAATCAGGTCATGCTGTCCAAATGCAATTGTCCCTTTATTATTGCTGATAAGAAGAGACTGCCATAGAACAGAAAACAGATGGGTCATATTTCATCTGTATTTATGATCTCCCTTCTAGTTCCATCTGCTCTAAGGCCCTTTGCTTTGAAAGACTCACACCAAGCTCCATGTGGGCTCATTTCTCCCTCAATTGCTTTCCACTGTTTTTTTTGTTTGTTTGTTTTTGTTTTTGTTCTTGTTTTTTTTGGATGAGGTGGATAATATTGCTTGTTATCTTCTGGTATTCTCTCTCTTGATGTCTTATAAGTAAACTTACGCTCTAATCAGGTGTTATCCTTGGCTTTCTCAGATCTTTGACTTGCAAGAAGTTCGTGTCGACTTGGGGCAACTATTTTTCATTAGTAATAGTTATTTCTTAAAAAAGGTTAGAGTTAATATCATTACTTCTGTCCATCTTCCATTGGGGGGGAGGGGTAGTGGAGGAAATCCAATAGCAAGGATTGGATGGCAGGTTGGATTTGAGATGTAGCAATAATGAACAGTATCTTCCTTTTACCGTCTCCCAATTTGGGAATTTAAAGTCAAAGATCTGGATGTCGGCAGCTTGGTCAGAGACAATTCCCACATCAGCAGTAATCAGTCATTTCCTAATTATCAAGATAGAGTTGATTTCATTTGTTATGACATTGTTTGGTATTTAGAATGTTCACTCAGTTTAGCATCTTTGGACTTTCTGCTGAGGCAATACATTTAGTGGAGATGAGAGGACCCTTCCGAACAAGGCATAAGCCTTTGACACTTTTCCTATTTTAACAAACCTCACTTTCCAGCCTTTCTCAAGCAGAATATAAGATCCTTAAGAGCAATGATTGTGCCATTTTTAGTTTTTGCTTCCAAATATTGCACTTTGTAGCTGCCAAATAAAATATTTGAATTAAAATTTTTACTATCATTCCCACATTGAATTAAATGAATATTGAGATACATGTTGACTTAGATTGGAGTACAAGATAAGGTTCTTCATAGAATTTATCTTCCATTTCATCTTCTGCAACTAATGGTGACATGTAAGCTAAAATTATTTATGTGGTAGTCTGCTTATGGTTAACATCAACACTGCAAAGCAACCATATTCCATGAGATAAAATGACTTTGGAGGCACATTAAAACTCTGCAGGCTCCTTTATTTGCTTTTTTGCAGAGAATCTGCTCATTGTCCTTCCATTCAGTTCCAACTCCTTTGTCTTCTTGTTTTGCTGCCAGTATGAACATTTAATTCTTCCGATAGTGAGTCTACTCTTTGGTCAATGGACAGAGATCATACTTTTTTAGTGTGCCAAATATGAGTATTTGCTGACAGAATAAAAACTGATTCTTAGCACCTCTGTCCCATTTTCCTCTACTTCCCTATTCCTGTGCAGGAACCAGGATTATTTTGTATTTTTTAAAACTATTTCATGGGCCACTATAGCCAAATTTCATCACTAATAACAGCCAAACACTAGCATTGGAAGGTTGGGCCTCTCTGCACTTAGTCGGGCTGGTTATTGGACAACAGATGTGCAATCTGGCCATGTTTGCCTGCTGGCTGCTAGTCCAGCCTTGAAGAATACAACATTTCCCTCCCACAACAATGAGGCTCCGGAATAGGTCTTTTTTGGGAAAAACTCAGTATATACTATCTGCATCCAACATATATATTACAGAAAAAGACAATCATTGTGCAATGAGAATACAAAAAGACTTACCACTAAGAGACCTTCTTCTTCCTTTAGACGCTTGGCCTCTTGTTTTTGAGCGTTAAGAGTGGCCATCTGGGCATTGAGACATAAGAGTGTCTGCTCATCTCTCTTTGCTTTTTCAGCGGCTTCATCAGCTGCTCTCTTTTCCTTTGCTAATCTGTCATGTTCCCAAAGCTCAATGAACAGTTTTTCTTCTATCATTTTCTGTTTTCTCAGTTCCTCATTAAAAGCGACCTGTGCAGCTCGCTCTTCACACACCTTCTTCTCATGGACTTGGACCAGGTGGTTACGGAGATCATCACAGTGTTCCCTGGAAGGTGAGACAAAAACAAATTGTCAGGGGACAATACTCTAAGTTATGAAATGATCTATAGGTTACAGGTAAATATTTAAATACAGTGAAGATATATACCAACCTTAAACAGAAAAATCCATATTCTGGGAAGTAGTTAAGAAGTTGGGGCTGAAGATTTAAATTTGGGAGCTATATAGGGAACCATTTAAGCAGAGGAGATCTCTGAGGGAAAAGTTATTGAAGAAATAAATGATGGCTCACTAAAGAAGATAGCAAATCACTGATTCCAAAGAAATAAAGACCCTGAAGCTGTCATTCAATTATAACAATGCAACAAATATTTATTGAGCACCTCTTTTGTGCTAGGCACTGGATGAAGTGCTGGGGCTACAAACACCAAAAAGTCTGAATTTAAAGACTGGACTTCTTTAAAAGCCAAGCATTAACAAAAACAAAATGGTCCCTGACCTCAAGAAGTTTACATTCTACTAGGGGATAATCTTGTATAGAGATTGTTGTGATTGTTTTTGTTTACTCTTCTTTCTCAGAAAAAGGACCAATGATAATAAGAGAGTGGTATCTTGACTTGTGAATAAATTGGATTTAATTTAAGTGAGGCAGAATTCATTCTCTTCTCCAGAGTCACTGAAGTCCAACAGCAAGAAAAAGGTCAAGATGACTGGTGATGGCCCAGAATGTAATTGGATGACCTTGGACTTTCTAAATTAAGTGAATAGAAGAGGAAGTGCAGTCAAGATGACTGACTGAAGGGAAGGAGGAGGATCAGGTTTCTTACACCTACTCAAGCAAAAACCTAAAAGGTCAATAATCAAAGAATCCAGTGAGATCTCCAATAAGTGATGGGTTTCTTCCACCCCAGAACCAGACAAAAAGTCAACCAGGAAACCATGAGGTCATAAGAAATGGTCCACTAGCAAAGCCAGGGTAGGCAAACAGGCCAGCAATTTCCCAGTACAACCAGAGACTAACCAGAGACCAACCAGAGATAAGGGTAGTTTAAGAACACAGTGTCTAGCGACAGTAACAATGCAGCATTCCCTTGAAAAAGCCCCAGAGTACCCAGAAACCCATAGTGGAACCTTGGAAGCTATTAGGAGTGGAGGGGCATTGTGGGAGAGGTAAGCGCTCAGATTACTATGACCCAGACTCTTGGGTTCCAAGGTCCCTAGCACTATCTCCTGAGACACTGTAAAGAATGCTGAAGATCTGGCACTCTGATCCTCAAAGATGTAGGGAGAATTAACTCTGGGAGGTAGAAGTCAATGCAGGAACTCAGGTGAATAAGGCTAAGACCAAGCAGGCATGACACTGCCCCCCCACCAAAAAAAGTGCAACATGGGGTGGAGACTGGCCCTGACCCAAAGCTCTCATTCAGGGAATAAGATAGAAAGACGAGTAAATTGAAGAAGACACCACTATTAAGCATTATTAAAAATCTAGAGGCACTCAAAAATAAAAAAAATCCAGTCTAGAAGGAGAGGATAACGCAATAACAATAGCAAGCAGAGATTGAAAGGGAAAACTGGATTTTCCACAAGCACTAGTTAAAGATACAGAAGAGGGGCAGCTAGGTGATGCAGTGGATGGAGCACTGGCCCTGGATTCAGGGGGATCTGAGTTCAAATCCAGCCTCAGACACTTAACACTTACTAGCTGTGTGACCCTGGGCAAATCACTTAACCCCATTGCCTAGCCAAAAAAAAAAAAAGGATCCAGAAGAAATAATGCAAAAGATAAACAATGAAATAATAATAATAATAATAATAAAAACTCTGTAGGAAAGAACTGGAAGAATAAATGGCTTAAATAGAAAAAAGTAAACCTTAACAAAGTAAATGAGTCACTGAAATCAGAATAGACCAAACAAAAATCAGTGACTCCATGAGGAAGTAAGAAATATTAGAACAAAATCAAGAGATTGAAAAAAATAGAAGAGAATATAAGATATCTGATAACAAAAAATACTGACATAGAAAATGTGTCAAGAAGAATTCATTAAAGAATCATAGCATTCCCTCAAAATTATGATTTCAAAAAAAGTCTGGAAAATACATTTTAATAAATCAAAAATAAAAATTTCCCAGATCTATTAGAACCAGTGGACAAAGTAATGATAGAAAGAATCCATTGATAACCTTTTAAAAGAAATCCCAAAAGGAAAAGGTCCAGGAATATCATAGTCAAAATTCAGAGCTTCCATGTTAAAGAAGACATACCTCAAACATCCAGAAAGGAGTTCAAGCACCAAAGAGCTGTAATAAGGATCACCCAAGACACGGCTGCTTCTACTAAAAATGAGAGGAGACCCTTGGAATACAATTCTGTGCTCCAAAAGGTATATGTGAAATAGTACACAGATATGGAAAAAGGATGGGGAGGAGGGGGGTAGACATCAGATGAACCTCACTCTTATCTGAAACAAAAGAGGTCATACATCCATACAACCCCTACTTGAAGACCTACAAGAAGGGACCTGACACCTCTCCCCAAGGCAACCAATTTCATGTTTAGGCAACTTTCGTTGTTAGGAAGTTTTTTCCTAACATCAAGCCTGAATTGCTCTCTTTGCAACTTCTGAAGCCAAAAAGAGTTCTAATTCCTCCTCTATCTGGTAGCCTTTCAAATACTTGGAGACAGAAATCCTGTTCCTCCTCTATCTGGTAGCCTTTCAAATACTTGGAGACAGAAATCCTGTTCCTGCTGAGTTTTTTTCTTCCCCAGGCTAAACATCCCGTTTCAGTCTTGTTCCTCTTCTTTTCTCTCTCAGTGGCCTCTTTAGGTAACCTCATCAGATCTCATAGGTTTAATTTTCATCTCCATGCAGATGACTCGTAGATAGACAGACAGACAGATAGATATCCAGCCCCCATTTCTCCCTTTAGATTCAGTCCCATATCACCAATGACCTATTAGATACTTCAAACTGAATGTCTTAAAGAGATCTCAAACTTATGTCCAAATCTTTCCCTACAATCCCTCCCCTCTTGCACTCCCCTATTTCTGTCAGAGGCATCAACATTTTTCTGCTCTCCCATGTTCATAACCTCAGCATCATTCTTGAATCTCTTAACCCACCCATTAAATCAGTTGCCAAATCTTCCTGTTTCTGCCACATCTTTCACATCTGAACCCTTCTTTCTAATCATGCAGCCACCACCTTAGTTCAGGTATTCATTACCTCTCATCCAGATTATTACAATGGTCTCCTTCTCTTCCCTCTCCGGTTCCATCCTCCACAACAAGCAATCATGTAACCTCTGCTTGAAGATCTCCAAGGAAAGAGAACCTGCCATCTCTTGACTTCTCCCATTCTACCTGAGAACCCCTCTGATTAGTTAAGAAGTTTTTCTTGTTTTGCAACATTAACCCATTGCTTTTGGTTTTGCTCTCTGGAGTCTTATAGAATAAGTCTCCTCTCTTTCTCCCATGACAGCCCTTCATATATTTGGATGCAGCTCCCGTATTTATCCTGAGTCTTCTCTTCACCATGCAAAACATCTTCAACTGATCCTCATATGACTTGGACTTAAAGTCTTTCATCATCCTGCATCATCTTTCTTAAACTGTGTGGCTTCCCCAGAGGGGTTCTGGCTAAGGCAGAGGAGGCTGACTGGTAGATTCAGAGCACAGCTAAGAGTACCATGGATTGACTATAAGTCTTGAAAGCTAGGCCTCTATTAATGCAGTCAAACAATGCATTAGCTTTTTGAGTTTCCATGTCACATTGTTGAACCCTCTGATTTTTTTGACAAACGCATTACATCATGAAGTTGTGATCATTGTAAACTTATATTGTTTGATGTTATAGTTATAATGATAGACCTCCAATATGGAGCCACTCAGGCTATGTAGTCCTAGTGACCATAAAAGCATATAGGCAAATACAGATAGTTTGTACTTTGCCGCTGTTAGCTCTATGTTGAGGAGATAAGGCTCACAGCTTTTGACTGGATGATTATTGTTGGTGTTATTGTTTGTCCTTCATTTTCTAAGAGGATCAATGACATCGTGGGTTCATATTTGACTTGTACATAAATTGGATTTAAGCGAGGCAGAGCTGCACAAAGTCATTAGCCTCACTCTCTCTTCTAGAGTTATAGAAGTCCTGTGGCAAGACAAAAGTTAAGATGACTGGTGATGGCCCCAGATGCAATGGATGGCCTTGGAGTCTTCGATGGCTGACCAAATTTCTAAGTGCTCCACAGTGCCAGCTTCAGCCACCTTCATGGCCCTGGGAACAAATTGTTCACATCTGCCCATTCCGCTGGGGGAAGTCTATACATGCTTGGGCAAGACACCTCCCCCTAACTCACTGATGGATCTAAGGCCTGTTGTTTACCCTCAACCTGGGGTTAGCCCATCTGCCAAGATGGTTTACTGGAGTGTGGCCACTGGGCACACTATACAGCTTTGTGCAGCCACAGGTGAAAACTGAGTACCAGTTAAACACCAAAGGCTGATGTGCAGCCCTTTAAAAGGTTCAGCAAGCCCTCACACCAGAGGCGCCAGTCCCCCTGGAACACTCCGTACATCCCACAGAGAAATATGAAGAGCAAGAGAGCAACCCCAGAAAAACAGAAGTTATAACAGGTCAACTTGATAATAACATGGCATATTCTATGAGGGTTTCTTGGGTGCTGAGCTAAGTCTTCCTTCCCTAGAAGGGATGAAACTTTCGACCAGCTGCAGGGCTCTAAGCTAGTCCTCTTTTTTGCGGCCTTAAATAGTTAGTGTTAGCTCCTGCCCCCATTTTGTGGTCCCAGTAAAGAAACTCCCCCTGCCCAAGCCTCACTCAATCCCACTATCGATAAGTGACCCCAAGAACTTCTCCAAGACGTCTGGGTTTGGTTAGGAATGCCCTCTCCCACATCTGGAACTAATTACTGGTTCTCAACAAAGCCCATTAAGGTATATAATTTTGCCACCTGAACTCCAACTTTGAGCACGTTCCCTCCTCAACACAACTCCCCTGTAGTGGGTGAGTTTGCATCCAT